CGCAACAGCGGTGTCGCAGTAGGTTCCTCTATCGGCCACGCTGTCGGAGGCTGGTTCGGAGGCGGTTCATCTGCCCCCGCCGAAGCTTCGCCTCAGAACACCGAGTTCTCTGCCCAGCACCAGCCCGCCGACACCGCATCCGCCCAAATGGCGCAGTCCGGTCCTTGCGCAAACGATGTTCAGACCTTTCGCAAATGTATGGATGAGAACCAAGGTAGTCTGACTATCTGTGGTTGGTACTTGGACCAGCTCAAGGCGTGTCAAGCGGCGGCTGGCCAGTACTAGTGGAACGGACAGGGTGGCAATGTACTGGTACAGCATAGATAGCGAACATGGCATATTTCTCCATCATGGTCAATCTCTAATATAGCATCAAATGGACAACGCAATTACCTTGGTTGATTCAACATACAGTCATCCTCCCCTGCACCGGTCCCCCTCAATATCCCCCTTCATCTCCGGAAACGTGTCAAAGAATCTTTCGTCTACCGACCAATACTTCAGATCCCCGTGGTATCGCTCAAACAGAGGACTGGGGTAGTGGTTTCCACTGCTATCATCGAGGAAGAAAGCGTCTTCAATGGGAAAAGGCCAGTCGAAGCGCAGATAGCGCGAGTAACAGCATGAGAGATCGGTGTTTTGGAAGATCGTGGCATGGTTATTCAAGAGGCGGGAGCGGAGGGTGGGCCAGGCGAAGAAGTCAAGGGCGATGGGGTGGGCCGTGGATGACTGTGAGAAACTGATCGTAGTGTCAGACGGACGGACGGACAGACGAAGGAGTGAACTCGGCTCGCGTGGCATAAGGGAATGCATGCGGGTGGGTAGCTAGGTGAGAAGGTTACCTTGGACGGAGCCAGTCGGGTACTCTGTCTAATTCTTCTTTTCTTGCGTTCAGATAATACTACCGTACGCAGGTTAGCTTCCTGATTTGCATGCTTCATGCATGGTGAGCTGGCGTCGACGTACCTTGAGCAGTTTGAAGCTCTTATACGCCACAGCCAGCCTCTCTACATTGGGTAAATGAACAAACAGCAACTCGTCGACCTGTTTCAGAATAGTAAGCGCTGGACTTTTCTTCCATTCCAACGAGGCTAAGCTGTTCCAACCCTGCTTTATGCCAGCGTATAGAAGTCCTGCTTCTGCGATATCGACCGGCACTAGATTGTGGCACGAAGATGAATACTTGTCAGAATTGCCTGAGTAACGACGATTGTAGGTAAAGACTTTGCCAAAGAGTTCGTTGCTCTTTTTCCAAATAGGGCAAATGGAGGATGAGGCTAGGGGGGTGGGGTTGTCTGGGTTGCCAATGTGGAGGATTGTTGGAGAGGGACAACGCCAGTTTGGGCCGAAAATCTGTAGGTAGTTCTGAGTCAGCCAGGGAAAGAAGACGATGATTAACATACTTCTTCCATCATGGGCGCCCATGTTGCTGTAGCTGATGCATGGGCCCAGTGCTGGCCTCCTCCCTTTTCTTCTGCTGAGCTCTTGTGTACAGGCGGGAGAACGGGCTCCAAGCTAAGTGGTTGATTCGACCCCACAGGCGGCGGAAATAGATCTGGCATTACTGTCATACCATCAAGATCGAGCGAGCGCATTGTTTCAGAAGAACTATGGGTGGTGGGCTGGTCGATGGGCGCCGGCAGAGATGCAGGTGGTCTCGTCACACTGCTAGACGAGACAATGCTTGGCTTAGGCGATTGCTGCCCTAGCATCAAAAGTGAGTCAAGGGTCAGTGCTAGAGATTTATGCGTACCGGCACTCGTCGCAGCGAGAGGAGTGTCCTCATCGTCACCATCATCAGCGAGGTATGGTGGTACGATCGCCGCAGCGGTCTTGCTCGACACCCCAAGGTCCAGCCCCACCACACTCTTGACGCTATCGATGACATCCCTCAACTGCTCATTTTCCGCTCGTAGATTATCAATCTCGGAGAGCAGACTCGACGTAGCCGCGTTACGATCTTGATCGCGAAGTATCTGGATTGTTCGTTCCAATTCCGCGATGTGCGTTTTGGTCTTTTCTCGCAGTGAGCGTTGAGCTTCACGGTCAATAGCTCTTTTCCGTTCGCGACGCTCTTGTTCTCCTAGGCAGGAAGCACGTCGTTTTCGCTTGGCGACGGTTGCAACGGGTGGTTGAGTTAGGGGAGCCGCTGCATCGCTAGCTCGTCGGTTCACCATGGCAAGATATCGGGTATGATGTCAAAGCAGGGTATTCAGTTCTCTATTGAATCGTGCAGTTCAAGTTAGTAGAATGTCAATGTCTTTGAGTCAACAATCTTTCCGGACTAGATACTCCATTATAAACCGCTTTAGTAGCGCCTGCCTCGGGAGTTTCCTTTGACATCATGTCGAGCTAGCGCTACCCGAGCGCTGTCATGCGGGGAGAGGTGGGGTTATGGGGCGCATGTAGGATGCATGCGATGACTACCTCTTCCCACATACCTAGGTACTGTGCTAACTCTACCTGGCTTGGTTCAGCAGCCTCGTAAAATTTGGTGCGAAGCTATTGGCCGAGCACACCGTGTGCTAGGAAAAGCATCACCGAAGCTTGCCAACATATGCACGATGGGTAACATTCACCCACGTAGAATGAAGACTTGTTCAATTACCAGAACGAACAGATAGGTAAGAAAAACTAATTATACCAGAACAGTGCACGGGAGTTGCCTATTCAAGATAGCAAGCTCCATACCTAGGTACTGCAGTCACGTCTACAGCTTGGAAGGTCGCCAATTCGGTCTCCGCTTCTCTGCAAAAGCCTTGAGCCCCTCTAGCGCATTATCCCCCGCGTTCAAGCCATGGTTATACTGCTCAATCGTTAGTTGAGTAGCCCGCTCCACGCTCCCGGTTTCCCAAGCTTCCTTCAGCGCCGCTCGTGTGACGATTGCCGAATCGGGTGAGATGGCCGCGATTTCATTTGCCAGTTTCAACGCCTCTTCCACTACTGTGTCTAGGGATGACGATATGCGATTGACGAGGTTGAGCTCTTTGGCTCGTTGTGCGGTGATGGATCGGCCTGTCAATGCCATCTCGGATGCGATGGGAAAGCCTACGTTGCGGACTAGACGTGGTGGACCTCCTGCGCCGGCGAAGATGCCACGGAGAGCTTCTGGGAGCCCAAAGGTCGCGTGAGGTGCCGCCACCACCATGTCGCTGTGAAGCCGCTGATCAGCAGCCTGTCTCACTCTCAAATTCGTAACGAAGCGCGACGTACCAGCCCAGAACAATCTCGAACCCTCCACCCAGCGCAAACCCATTGACAGCAGCGATAACCGGCTTCTTTCCCATCCTTCTGCTCAGCCCCCCAAACCCACTCACAGGGTGTCGCATCATACCAGGACTTGCTTTCAGCTCCCCGCTCCTTATCTTTCCGAGTTGAATGAGATCTTGCCCGGCGCAAAAGCTCTTCTTGCCTGCTCCTGTGACAATGGCAACGCGGAGGTTGGGCTCGTGGTCGAACCAATCGAATACTTGGCCCATTTCAAGGTGTCCTTCGAACGGTATGGAGTTCATTTGTCTTTCGCGGTTGATTGTAACGAGGAGGACATAGTCGGCTGGATAAGAGAGGACGACGTGGGAGGTGGGAGGTGGCGTTGTTTGGCAGTTGACGGATGTCATGTTGGGCAGGGCCGGGCAGGACGGACGAGACGGTCACTATCTAGGTATGAACCGTTTGTGTGAGGCCACATTTGCGACTGCTTTCGCTAGAAGTATTCAAAGGTATAGACAGCCCAAGTTTCTGAGAGAAGCTACCTAATTGCCGATAGAACGAAGATGGATAAGCCTGCGAGTGCTGGAGCCGAGGTGTCTTCCCCGCACGACGCTAATTCGGTAATGTTTGGCTCGTCTGTCACCAGTGTGCCCATGTCGCTCGGTTCAGTGCCTCGACAATTGTGCCAACAGCTTCAAATCACATTGCGATTGATACCTCTTCTACCATCTCCTCTTTCGCCAGCGGCAGGGTCGTTTTCAAGACGCTGTCAGCATCCACACGTAAGCACGCGCGACGATTGGCCTGTGCAAGGCCGAACAATGGCTTGAACGAGAAAGCCTCTACTCTGGGGCCATGTCGCGGTGTCTCTAGACGTTGGAGAAGTGGCCTAGGCTCGGCAACATGGAGTTCCGGGACCGTTGTACTTCGTAGGCGGCCAGGGCGTAAGAGCTACCAACTGAGAAAGAAGCTCCGTACAGTGGTAGGCCCGTGAGGGAACGACAAATCCGTCACCCTTTTCTACTATGCCCTCATGCCTTCATCCAAGATGGATTCATTGTGCGCTCGATACCGGTTCTCCGTCAGACACGGACATCCGGTGCCCATGGTGAAGCACGAGCCCGATTCTTCGTGCGCTCGGTCTCGGGAATTTATATCTGGTGCCTAGGTTTGCTACTGAAAGTTGTCGCTAATTTGATGGCATAGAGATTGTCATTGCAGGAGGACCAATATTGCGGATACGATATATATTAGGCCGAAAATAACCCGGTGGTTGGAGGATGCTAGTGTATGACAATTAGGTTAGTTGCCTAGTTATTGCTGGCCCTTTTTTAGAACCCCCTGCATGCAGACGGTGGGGTCTGGTTTCATCACCTTGTCTGCAGCGAGATTGTCCGCGTTATAGGTAGGCTCTAGGCGTCTAGCGGTCTAAGGCTTGCAGAAGTCAAAGCGTCTAGCATTTAAGGCAGCAAACATTACTACTTAAGTAGCGTAGCGTAGCTGTGCAAGCAACAACAATCAACCTTTATCTTTATTATTCTGCACCCGAGCCTTCTCTACATTATCATTGTATCGTTCTTCCCAGAAACCAACCATGGCTCCAAGTCGTAAAACGAGCAGGAAGCCACGCGCGAAGCAACCCCGTCGGACTGTTGCCTCAACGCGTTCCCCGACAGCTCCCCCTCTTATACGTGTCCAACGTAAATTCGGCGACAAGACAAAGCCATCGCTAAAACGCTATCTCGCCAAGGTTCTGAAGTCCATCCGTTCCTCGATGCCTCCTACGCCTGATGTATGTAGAGGTCCAATCCCTGACATCAGAACCCGACTCGACAAGCTCCGCAAAGACAACGAACCGATCTATCGCGACCTTGCCGCCACATCCTCCGGAGTCAAAGAGGAAGTGGACCCCGACCGAGAGTCTGTCATGCGCCAGTCAAACGTCGAGACGCTCCTGAACCACCTCTCTGCCGGCCGAATTGCCGTTGGTCACCACGGCTGTTGGATACCAACGGAGGCTTCAACGCCCACAGACCCATTCGGGGGGCGACACATATCTGAGCAGATCAGCATCACAGCAGGTGGTATGACCGAGAGGTTCCAATCCAATCGCCTCGTCTTGAAGGTCATTGGATGTGAGCATCTGATGTGGAACAAGGATGTGCAGGGGTCCCACTTGTGTGGGCACAGTTCGTGCGACAATCCCTTGCACATCGTGTGCGAGTTGCGTTGCTTCAACATGCAACGGATATTGTGTCCGGGTAGCTGCCAATCAGACGCTGGCGATTACATTTGCGATCATGGCCCAGAAGGCTTCCAATGCTTCGGGCATTTGAACTGCCCAAGTACCTGCGAAGTCGGCCGGAATATACAGCAGAAATTGTACAAGGTTTTCGACGACGAACAGCGCCGCCTGGCGACGGAAAGAGCGAAGACGGCGAGGAAGAGAGCAGAGAAGCGTATCGCTGAGGAGGCAGAAGAGCAACTCAAAGCCGAGCGCAAAGAGGAGGACGACCGAGTCAAGGCGGCAGCGAAGGCGGCACTGTTTGCAGCCAGGGATGCTCAAAAACAGAAGGACAAGCCAGCCAGGAATGCGCAACAAAAGACGAACAAGCGAACCAAGGTGGCGAAGAAGGGGGCGGACAAGGTAGCCGTGAAGAACAGGTAGACACGATAAGTGGTAACACATGAGCGCCGGTGTGTGATGGAATTTGAGAGAATGACGAGCGCACCTTGATACAATATCGAACTGCATCGATTGATGCAGACGCAATCAGACAGGTAGCCTTAGTTCACGTAGAATCAAGAAAATTGGAGTGTACTTTGGTTGTTGGAATCGAACATTGCTGTGCGTTACATTGAAGCTTTGCACTGTCTCTTATCATGTGTGCGTTCTTCCCCGCACGTCACGACCGTGAGCCTTGGGTGGTGGGCTAAGCAGCTAACCTAATGGGTTACATCAGCACCTAGGTACCGTGGTTGTTAGCAGAGCATGTACGAATGGGGCAGGAGTGAACATTGGATCGTTTTATTATTTGTCGCGTGCTCAACAACTGCCACAGGCTATCACATTAACCTGAAGGCGCTACCACGCTGCTGCTCGGTAAACCATGCAGACCCGGCAGATCTGTTGCACGCTTCATTGGTATGCATGTCGTGACATTTTTACTCAGTCGTACATGCTGCAGTAGAGCTCTGAGGTGACGTGCATAAAGCGGCTAGGATAGAGGCCGGTTCGTCACTTTCGGCCTGGCCCATTTACTTCATACTTCTTCAATTCTCCATGCGCTGATAGAACAGGATGTAGGCCACCTTGTTGTCGCGCACATTCTCGCTGGGCAGTGGCGTCCTCTTGCCCGGTGAGATGGGGGTTGTCGTGCCATTGACAGCACCAGTCCATTTCTTGATGCTATCCTTTTGCTTCTCGGCTCCACTGACTTGGTTCCAGCCTCCTTTGTCCGTCCCTTGCTCATCCAGGTCAATCCGGGCAAAGTAGTTCTTGCTCATCCCCATATCGCTCTGGTGTTGCTCGAGTCCGGCCGCGAGGACCTTGGGATCCTCTTCAGCGCCGCCTTCAGCGACATCCTCGGCGCGGATGCGGCGGATGATGGTATCGTCCATTCGGATCCATTCCTTGCCCTCCTGGCGCCGCAGGTCGACGGTGTAGTGGCCACCACTTGCGTTCTTACCGTGGTGGTACACGACCCCAATGAGGCGATAACGCGGGAAGCATCCTTGGATGTGGTAGCTGCTTCGTTTATGCGGGGGAAAAACCTCTTTCGGCAGCTCCAACTCCAAGGGGTACCCAATCTTCTTCCAAATCTTTTGTGGTCCCTTTTCGTCGTAGTGAAAACGCTTCAGGTGAAGAATGAGGACTGGTGGGAGGGTCTCAATATGTACTTGTTTGGTGGAAGCTTTGGAACCCCGAGCCGCACCGTCCAACGTCTCGAGACGCGTAAGATTCTTGAGAGCATCAGAGATGTTGTTAGTGTTGGGCTCACCGATATCGAGCTGGAGGGGTTGGTACGGCTCAAGTGTGACCGAGGCCTTCTCGCCTGGCCTCTTGTATTCCGACCGCAACTTGCCACCGAAGATCTTGGTGATGGGACTTTCAACATCAATCGCCCCAGAATTTTGTGTAATAGAAGTTTTTTGCTTGTGCCCAACCTCTTCCCATCCACCATCAATGTAGCCTGATCGTGCGGTCCCGGGGGATGCGACGGCGTCTGCGGACTGGCTCTGCTTGCCACTCTTGATGATGTGGACGCACTCGTCGTGCAGTCCAGCAAGCAAGAAGCCCAGAAACTCCTCGGCGTCTTCTTGCTGACCCCTCTTCATATTGTCGAATCGAGGCAGACGCTTTATGACGTCGTATACGTACTCGGGTGTGAGCGGGTCGCCGTACTGCTCGAGCTCGTTGCCTTTTAGCCGAAGACGGAGTTGGTCGACGGTGTCGGCAGAGTCGATGAGTCGGAAGTCGCGCAGGAACATGATCATGGCATCCACGAGAGGAGTTTCGGACTTGAAGCTGTGCGCAGCGCGCTTTGCCACCTGATCAAGGAAGTCGTAAAAGGGAACGCAGAACAGTAGTACTTGGAGAATCTGCAAGACAAGTCAGCGTGGCACAGAGTAGAGTAGCGGGTTAGGTCGCACCGAGTTCATGTAGCACAAGTTGCCCGTGTTTACAAGCCCTCGAGGCTCGATAAAGGAAGCCTTTGTCTCGGCGTCAACTGAGAAAGACGCCAGAACGTGTGCAAGCGTGGTGTTGCTAGGTACTACAGGGCCGTTGGAAACAGCCAAGGTATTGTTGGGAGAGGGAGCTGGCTGCGCGACGGCGGGAGTGTTCTTTGCCCTCAACAGCTCTGCCCAGGATTTTGGTGCTGCCGGCCGAGGCGGAGATGCCTTTGGAGTCTCTTCGGAGTTTGGGCCTGTGTGGGGTGTTGTTGCTGTAGTGTCTCCATTCTGGGTGTGTTCCTGATGAGTGCCGGCGGGCGATTTAACCGACTGTTGCGTCATCGAAGGTGCACTGGGAGCCTGTATTGGTTTGACAGGAACGCGGGGCACGGCTGGGATCGTGGGGTTGCGGGCGTGTTGCTTGACAGTGGCTGAAGGCTGGGCTGGCGATTGTACGGGCAATGGTGTTGCAGCAGACGGCGGGGCAGATTGCGCCAGATCGACTTCCGAAGGCGGGTGTGAGGTGGACGGAGTATCGATATCAGCGTCAGAGGGTGCCGGTATGGTAGAAGCCTGCGAGTCGTCGGGCTCCTCGGACGGGGTCAGCTGGCCGTGGGTGCCTTGGTCGAGGTACGTGGCGTCACGCGAGGGTAGGGCCAGAGCCTGGTCCTCGATGTGAACGGGAGCCCTGCGCCTTCGCCGGCGGGGTGTCGCGCGTGGCGGGAAGACGGAGTCGGGGGCGGACAGCCAGGGCAGAGGCGGGTAGAAAGGCCTGAATGTGACGGACTGGGGCGAGGGCGGCGGGGCGTCGACAGTCGTGGCAGCGGGCGAGTGCGGCGCTGGCGTGGGCATGCGCGGGGGAAGCGTGTGCAGCTGCGAAGAGACGACGACGGGCGAGCCATGGGGTTGAGGCTGGAACGGGCGCGGAGGCATGGCGTACTGGAGCGGCGGCTGCTGGTAAGGGTACCACGGCTGCGGCTGCTGGGCATAGGCGTGGAGCGGGCCGTGGAGCGGGCCATGGTGCGGTGCCTGGTGGTGGTGGTGGTGGTGGTGGTGATGTTGCTGGTGGTGGTAGGGCGCGGAATAGGGATTGTGGTGGACGGGCGAGTGTGTCTGGGGCGGCATCGCGTGGTGGTAGTACTGCGGCTCGTGCCTTCTGCTGCCAGGCAGGTACGGGCCGGGCATCGTGGGCGCTGGAGGCCGTGTTGCCTCGACCGTGGGCGCTGGCGGGAGCCGTCGCAGCCAGCGTGCGCGGCAACGGGTCGAGGGGAGTGTCTAGTGGGACTGCGGGGTCATGGTATCAGGACGACATGAGCGCAGCACGGGCTGCCCGCGACGGAGACACGTGGGGTGCAGTGTGGAGGTAGAGGTCGGGGCGGATTGCTGTTGGGGTCGGAATCGGTGAGGTTGTAGAAGAAGCCGCGCCAACGTGATCCGAAAGGGCAATCGCAGCCGTCTGTGCGGAGACGCTGTCGTCAGAGCACCATCGCCACTCGGCCTTGCGACGCTCGTCGTCTCCAAGCCACCTCTTGGGGACGCCAACCCTCGCAGCTACATATCACCGCACTCGCATTACTCGCCCTTGTCCTGCTCGTGAACCCTTAGCTGGGCGTCATGTCCAGCAATCCGCCCACCGCCGCCGCCTCGTCCAAGGCCTCCGCTCCCTCGGGGCCCGCTTCACCCGCCCAGACGCAGACGCAGACGCCCTCCGCCAGCACCAGCAGCTTCTCCACGCAGCCGCGGGGTAGTGGCGCGCCCGCGCGGTCATTGCCGACTCCCCGCAACTCGCAGCAGCAGAAGAAACAGCACAAGGCGTCGAAGCGCTTCAGGCAGACGGACGAGGATGCCATTGCCGAGTCTCTCGCCATGCGTCCCTTCCAGAACCGCAAGGGCCAGACGTCCATTACCCACCTCATGAACTTCAGCTTGCCGCCCCGCCCAACCAACCATGCCGCCCATGGCCACGCAAGGAGCTATCGGCGCAACCCGACGTGGGGCCTTGGCTCGGGCTACCACGCCGTAGACAAGGCAAGGTGAGAGTCCCAGCGGGAGCAGCACCGTGTCGACCATTCCGCTAACACCATGCAGATACGTGCACGCCAACTACCGCTTCATCGTAGACCCCCGCGCCGACTACCGCGCCCAGAGTGTCGATGCCGATGTCCACCTCGACTGGAACAACGTCCTGCAGATCCTGGCTTCCGAGCTTTCACAAGACGCCTCGTGTCCCATCTGCCTTGGCACACCCCTAGCCCCCAGGATGGCGAGGTGTGGCCACATCTTCTGTCTCCCATGTCTCATCCGCTACATGCATTCCGAAGACGACGCCAAGCCCCGAGACAAACGGGCGCGTTCGAGCAAATGCCCGCTGTGCTTCGACACCATATACGCCTCTGAAACGAGGCCAGTGCGCTGGTACACAGGCCAGGAGGGCGAGCCTCCCCGCGAGGGAGGCGATGTAGTTCTCCGCTTGGCTGTCAGATCCGCGGGAAGCACCTTGGCTATGCCCCGCGATGGCGCCTACGCTATGACCAAAGACGAAGATATCCCCTGGTATCATGCCGCCGAGGTGACCGACTATGCCCGCATAATGCGCGGCGGTGAGGACTACATGCTGGACCAACATGATCAAGAGATTGTGAAGCTGGAGCACCAAGGCAAAGAGGATGAAGTCATGTTTGCCGAAGACAGCATGGAATGGACCAACAAGGCGGTACGGAATATCCGAGAGGCCAAGGAGAAGCTTAGAGGAATCGGAAACCCCCCAGACGAGGCCTGCAAGCCCGCGGAACCCAAGATGAAGAGAGCGCCCATGGTATTCAACGAGACGACGGCGCCAGACATGAACACTGTACAGGACCATTCCCAGGTCGGGACCGCTTATGGCAAGGACAGGGCCATGTCTGTCTCTTCGCACTCTTCAGCAGCAAGCCACGGCATGTCTCTGACGCTTGCAGAGCTTCGCAATCGACAGCACCACGAGCACCACCAGACGCCCGCCGAATATTTCTTCTACCAAGCACTATTGCATTACTACTTATCTCCGTTAGATATCCGCATTTTGAAAGCGGCTTTCGGAAATTTCGCCTCGTTCCCCTCAACGATCCTTCCCCGTGTCGAGCACGTATCTACGGGACACGTAGTCGATGACGAATTGCGCAAGCGCACAAAATACCTGGCGCATCTACCATACGGCTGTGAAGTTGGTTTCCTTGAATGTGATTGGACCGATACAGTCGCCCCAGAAGTGCTGGAACGCTTCCGACCCGATATTGAGAAAAGGCGAAAGAGGCATGTTGAGAAGGAGAGTAAAGAGGAGAAGGCACGACAGCGCGCGGAAAAGGCCGAGTACGCCGAGTTTGCATCTGCGCGCAGAAGACGTCCAAGCATGACGGAGAGATTCTCCGCCGACGATTTCCAGCCTCTAGCATCAGGCAGCATGCCGGACGCGCAGCCCGTCATGGATGGAGACAACTCTTCGACGTCGCCACCCTGGCCACGGCGGCGTGGCGATGGCTTCGCTCCGTTGGCTTCTCCTTCGTCAAGCCCGTCAGCGCCACGGACCGTATGGGGTACGGCGATAGTGGCAGGCACGTCTCCAGTGTTTGGGCCCCAGGATCATCATGACGGCGATGATGGGTGGCTGCAGGGCTGGGAGAAGGATTTGCTTGCCGAGGAGGACATGCTTGCCCGAGCGCAAGCCATGTCTTTAGAAGGAGGCGAGGAAGGCGCGAAGAAGCCGGCCGGCGGAAAGAAGAAGAAGGGCAAAAAGATCACGTTGATGAGTACGAATGTGCGGAGGGGAGCGTAGTTAGTTTCGGTAGCATCACCGAGTCGCTTGGTGCGAAAGGGAGCAATGAAGATGTCAAGATAGGCTCAAGACTAGGCCGCCACTCATCGTCAGCCATGCAAGTGCTGTGCCCACCGCCTCGCGTCGCCTGCCCTAGGTCAAACAAGCGCCGCACCCAGCTGTGCCACCCATCTGAATCGGCGGTCTCGAGTCGCCCGTCTGCGCGACGCTCCCGGCGTGTCCACGGCCCCGCGCTTGACTACCAGGCCCGGGTCCAGCACGACCGCGACCATGCATGCCGCCCTGGTAGCTGCCTCGTGCCGGTGCCGTGACGGGAGGGCGATGCGTCGAGTTGTCGATGCCTGGTGCGCGGTAGGGGGAGCCTCGTGCGGCGGCCCACGTATCGAGGGAGAAGAGCGTAGTGAGGTAGAGGGCGAGGAAGGCCAAGAGCGTGCCGGTGGGCGTCGCAGGCGACGCCGTGGGCCTGGACGGGGTTGTCAGTTTTGTGTGCGAGCAAGGAAGGGGGCGGTGGCTAGGCATACCTGTGCGCGTCCATATTGTGAGGCGCTTGTACCACTGTCATGGTGGGAAAGAGATATGGAAGTTCAGTTGCGCCGCCGAGTGCCGCAAGCCGCAGGCCGCAAGCCCGCGGTGCGACAGGGGTGGGCGCGCCAAGACAGGCCGAAAAGTTGCGACCTTCAAGTAGCAACATGCTACCTACCGACCGATTCACATTTTCCCGCGACCGCACCCGCTACCCGAGAGCACGTTGCGCCATCTTTGTCCACGACATCGTGACTTCGAAGGGCTCCAGCTCAAGTCCAAGACTGACCATGGCCGTGCATCAGCCTCCACATGACAACGTCAGTCCTGCCAAGAAACGCAAACGCGACACCCAAGAGCAACAAATAGACGACGTTGATACTTCTAAACCTACCGCTCTTTTCGCACCAACCAAAGGTCGCGACTGGACCGTCACCATCGCTTTGCCCGGAAGCTGGACTCTCAATGCCAAGAAGCCCGATCACAAGACTATCCAAGTCGGACGAATCGCACGCGCAGCCGCCATCTACTGTGTCGATGAAATCGTCGTATTCGATGAAGATCCGACCAATGTCGATCCCAGAGTCGTTGATCCAAAATACATCCGCAGAGGACGGTCCAAGCAACAAGTCCTCGACTCTATCCTGGAGCACGATGAGGCATGGCAGAGCCCAGACCAGTTCCTTTGCCATTTATTGTCTTATGCCGAATGCCCACCTCATCTACGATACGACGCCGAGGATCCCCGATTGAGCATCTTCAAGGAACATCAGAATCTCAAATGGGTTGGTAATCTCCCAAGTATGGATATGCCGCACCATCTTCGAAGCCACGAGTGGTGTCGGTACCGCGAGGGTGTCTTTGTCGGCCCAGCCCATTTGCCCGCATCATTGATACCCAAGAACAACAGCTCAGGGACATCTCTGTCTCATGACTCAGAGTATGCATACGTCAAATGCGGTCTGCCGCATCCCATCCGCGTCCCTGTCCCCAAAGAAGCCCCTCCTGAGCAAGGCATGCGCACAACCGTTCGCTTCACCAACGCCGATGCACCTCCCAACTGGCCCCACCTATCTCAGCAGGAATGTAATCTACTAAATGCTACGGCATGCGCGGCCAGTCTTCCACGTGAGGAAGGCGGCTACTACTGGGGTTACACGGTCCGACGCGCTCCATCACTCAGCGCCGTCTTCTCCGATTGCGAATACCCAGATGGCTATGACATGTCTATAGGAACATCGGAACGCGGCCAGTCCGTCTATTCACTATTTACTGACACTAGCAATGAGTCTGCTACGTTTGCAGCCAAAGCCAAAGCTCACAAACCCTTTAAACACCTCCTTATTGTGTTCGGAGGCCAGGCCGGCATAGAACCGGCTATTGCCAACGACCCGGTTCTCGCGGCAAGAGGATTGGGCAAATCGATGGCTAGCGAGCTTTTTGATGCTTGGGTTAATTTGGTTCCGGGACAGGGCAGCAGGACAATTAGAACAGAGGAGGCTGTTGTCATCGGCCTTGCGGCGCTGAAGCCTTGGATGGACAGAACGATGCAGGTATAGAGGCATGATCAACCAGGCTCTCGGCCTAGTGCTGGGTGTTTGACATGCGATTGCCTCATGCTCGATGGGTCTCACAACAAACGCTCTCCTCTACAAAACAGCACTTGAACATTATTAGCTGTACTGGATCTATGAAGCCGTCTTGATCCTCCATGCATCCTCGATTCCGACACGCAGTCAAGTCAGTATGTGCTGTCCAGCCTCATAGTGTACCCTCGCCCAAGCATCTCTTGAGAGGAAACTCGTCGCCTGTACAAAGACTGATAACACCATCAACCCATTCCATATTGTCAAACTGCTTTGACTCGAACGAGTCAGCCTGGTAGTCGGATAGCTCTCCATAACCACCGATGGTACCCGTCCAGACACTTCCACTCGCACGGTTGGTCCAAGGGTTACTGACAAAAGCGCCATACTTGTCCTTGGGGACCTCGGCGGTGAAGGTTTGCGTCTGAGTCGTTTGCCACGTCTGGCTGTAGTCGATTGACATGGAGACTTGGAGGAAGTCCTTGACTAGTGTCAAAGTGCTGCTCGCCCCAACCGAAATGCTGTTACTAATGGAGAAACCCGAGGCGACGGAGATAGTAGTCGGTGCGCCCTTGGTGACTTGGCTCATTTGAACATCCCAGCCCAAGAAACGAGAGTTGGGGTTCGGAATGATAATGCTGGTGTCGCGTTTCAAGTGCTGCTTGTCTGGTGTTTTGGTCTCGTTGCCGGAGAAGTGAATCTCAGCAAGGTAGGCAGGCTTCGGAGGTACAGCACTGGCCTTGCGTGCAGCTTCCAGCTCTTCAAAGGCAGATCGTTTCATAACGGTGAAGTGGCCTTTGCCGTGGAGGATAACGTCATCCGATCCGATTTTGACGGGTGCGGGAGCAGCCGCGACGAGAGCGGCGCCAAAAATGAGGGTGATGAAGGAAGTGGAGTGCATTATAGCGAGTACATATATGAGGTGAAACGAATGTGTAGAACTTTACGAAAAGAGTGACAGGGCAGGTAAGGTGGTGAGAAGAATTCATGATCAGGGAGGCGTGCTCTACTTATCGTCAAGAAATGCGAGCAAGTTAGCACCGCATTGGCAGCGTCGGCTGTATGACTGATCGTAACATGGGTTCTGAGACGCAATTTTGACATTCCAGCTATCTTGGTAAACAGGTACGTCAATACATTTCTTGGCAGGGATTTATGAAGGATCAATAGTGGTGGAGTATACGAACCTAGGTAACGTGTTCAGGTGCGCGGCTGATTGGTTTCATGGTTGTCCGGTGATTTGCTGTCTCGAAGTACGAATAGTTCTTCCATACCTACCCAAAGGCTCGCCGTAGGATTACTTATTCTGAGTGGGTCTCGCTAGGCGCAACATGAGTCGAGTGGCTCCTCGAGTATCACTGTAACAAAAGCACGCCCGCATCGTTCTTTCGGGCCGAAGCGCATGAAGTGCAAACCCTTTCCGGGTTCTCGGCATCTACCCTTAATAATACAAGGCATAGAATTCCCGACTTCTAATAGGACACCGCTCTAATAGTGCACTCGGTTCACCTGCCGAGGGAATGTGGGATTGGGGCATTGCTGTGCGGTCCCTCGATACCGCGGTGGCTCAACCACGTTTCAAAACCTTGGAAGAAGGGGCGCGCTCGCCACAATTGCGCCGAGAATGGACAAAGGACAATTGTAGTGATGGCCATGAAAGCATGAACGAGGATCCGTTCTATCATCAGTTCTTACTTATTTATCTTGTTTCCACATCCGGTTCTGAGCAGTACCCAACTTCCGCTCTTTAATCCTTTGGTGCACCTGGCTTTTACAGTCAATTCTGTCGTTACCTTCGCTCTGTCTGAGCTATTTCGAAACCTGAAGCCGTCATGCATTTCTCAGTCGTCCTCTCCGCACTTCCCATCCTCGTGGGCTCCTTCGTCAACGCCGACCTCCACAGGGAAGGTCTTTGTGTCGATGAAGTCGGCGGACAATACGTGTACAACGCCGACGCAACAACAAAGGCATGCGACGCATATCTGAATCGCAACACTGGCGACCAGCAATGGGATACATGTGCCGATTGCAAGATGGTGAGACATACAAGAATCCCTCCATGAACCCTTCGCATGCTAACATTGTGCAGACCGAAGTCGGCAAGCTCAACCTTTGTCAATCGCTAGGGAATCACATCGGTGGTGATGAGTTGAACTATTACTGCAAGGAGAATGGCGCTGGCAATTCATTAGCCTCATAAGCTGCGGACAAGGAAGAATAGCTTTCGTGAACAGCAGTGACTTTGCTGTCGTCGTGTTGCGTCAGAGGTCGATGTATACCGTCCTGCAAAGTTTTACCAACCACGATTAATTTAATTCGATAACAAAAGGCTTATGACACGGACGTACCATTTTGCATGGGCTCATATGCTCATCTCCATCGTAGCGTTATGTTTCAAATGTCCCAGCTTACCTGCAATGACTACAAACTAAAGTGCGAATTGCTAAACATCTAGTCCGCTGGTGTTCTATAACGCAATGTTACAGCAGCTACAGTGACCGATAGGAAAACGCTTCGGTGATGAAAAGCGATGAGACAGCAACTATTGCCTTGGAACGAGCTCACTAAATTCACTAACCGTAGCGAGAAAGATGAACGGAAATCGGATCTATCAGTTGTCTAGATCATGGACTTAGACGCGATTTTGACGACACTGAAGTTCCAGCGCGGAAAATGTACACGGATGCTTTTGCTGTTACAGATAGTGACCTCGTCAATTGTAAGACCAACGAGATTCCCAACAGTCTTTCCCATATGTCCGTAATCGGAAGGAAATATCTCGACCTCGTCGCCGTATTTGAGCTTATGTGAATTGTCATCGATGAATGTAACGTTTTCTGGTGAGGTAGAAGTGCCAAGAGTTCGTTGTGCCATAGTATTTCCATCCAGCGT